TTTTTTTTTTTTTTTTTTTTTTTTTTCTTAAGATCTTCAAAATGTTGGTTTAAAAGTAGAAATTTGTGTGAATTGATCTGAGAGTTCATATGGGTTTTTGATATACAGAATGTTTATGTCGTCCTGCAAGCGCTTAAGAATCATGAAAGGATCGGAAGCGAAGGGATTAGGATGTGTTGCATGAAAGATAGAAGAAAATGAAAAAGAAATCATCAGAGCCAGGAAGCTTTGAAATACGATCAGAGAAGGAAAATCTGGGCTTGGGATCTCGAGGAAGAAGATGATTTGATTTTGCAGAGAAAACCCAGTTGGGATTTGGGGGAAAAACAAGATTTTGCAGAGAAAATTAGGTGTTAGGGGGGATGATTTGGTGGTGGTTCATGATTTTTCCTTCATTTTCATCATTCTTTTAATCCCAATATCATTATCTGCACAGACCAGAAATGAATTGTTTTGATTATTATTATTATTATTATTGATTATATGATATGAATTTTTGTGTATAAAAAATCAAGCAACCTCCTATCGACTCCTTTCTCTGGAACCTTCGAATAAAGTACATAATTTGTTCGACACTTTAGTTACTTTTGACTACACTTTCGTTGTTCCATATTTGAGAATTCTAATGTCATGGTTAAGTTTAGGTCATTCCTCCGATAGTAATCATGACTTTACACAATGGTATGATATTGTCCACCTTTAGCCTAAGCTCGCTCTAGTGACTTTGTTTTTGGCTTACCCAAAAAAAGTTACAAATAGAATAAAATAGTATTCCTTACTTATAAATTCATAATCTTCTACTAGCTCCTAATAATAATTCTCAACAAAATTTAGTTTAATTCTCAACAAAATTTACTTTACTTTCGTCAATCATATCTAGCTTTATATTTTCTTAATTGAAAACTTTATTTGAGAAAATATTGATGAGAGAGTCATAAATTTATGAGGTTGATTGGGAATTATTAATAGAAAAGGAAAATAATATATACTCATAAATGTATTTAATTAATAAAATTGAAGATTACCATTCTTATTTCTTTTTGGAAAATAAAAACTTTATATAATAATGTTATTCATTTATCATTTTTTACAAATTAAGCTTCTAGTTTAATGACTTTTTTAAAAATTAAAAAAAAAAAAAAAGAAAGAAAGAGAAATTGGTAAACAATAAATAATAAAATAAAGAAATTCATAATAATAAATAATATTGGAAACTTCAAAACTAAATAGACAAAATATAAAAGTTGTGAAGTAACAGTAAATTTGTAATTTAACACAACAATAACAATAATAAATAACGTAATTTGAAAAATCCATTTTATCATTTAAAATCAGTTTAAAAATTTGTCACGTATTAAAGTATTTTTTTTTTAGTTTCATCAAAATTAATTATAATGATAAAATATATGTATAAATCATTTTATGTTTTATTAGTGCAAACATAGATTTTGAAGGTTGGATTAGTTATTGAGAATTAGGGTTTTGTAGAAGAAAGATGAATTTTGGAATAAAATAATAAAATAATAAAACAATTAAACAGCCACAGCTCACATGGATTAATGATTGTAATAAAAAAGCATCCAACACATTGACTTTTTCTTTTCTTTTCTATATAAGAAAAAAAAAAAAAAAAA